GGAAAAGAAAGGAAAGAGAGAAGGTAGAAAATGAGAGATTTGGAAGGTATGGGTCTCCAGGAATAATGGCTACTGTTTTTTTAGTTTATAGGTCATTTAATCCTCAACACAATCCCCAAGTATTGTCCTTATTTAGCACATGAGAAAACTGAAGTCCAGAGAGGTTAAGTAATTTGCCCAAGATCACATATTTAATGACAAAGGTTCAAAGCCAGGTCTGAGTGACTAAAACCCATGCCCCCTCCCCCATCCCCACCCTCAGCCCCTGGGACACAGCAATTCTGAATAGTAGCTTGGTCACATAGGAAGCCCTGGACACATGCTTTTAGGCCTTTCTTCCCACCTGAAATCAGAAATACTAGAACATGGTGCCCCAGTGTAGCCACCTTGATACCACTGAGAAGTTAAAGGCAGAGTCTAAACCCTGAAGTAGGCAGAGCCTTTGATAATTGCTACGCAGCTGTTAGTGGTATAGCCTAGCCTGGCCACTCCTTTCTTCTGTCTCCTTTTAGAATGTTCTTTCACGCTTGGAAATATTTAGTGTGGCTCCATTTGAATTGTTCAAGTTACAGCATCTGGTATTTTGTGTGCATTTTCTCTGAAATGTAAAAGAAAAAAAGTCTATTATTGTTCTCCCTGCAGCAAAATCTCTGTCTCTTTCTGCACCCACCCCTTTTTAATTTTAAAGCATTTTTTTGGCACATTCTCGTCATTTCAGATTGTGTACGCCTTGATGGAATTCAGGTTTCAAGAGTGTCTGCTCTAGTTCCTGGAGGATTTTGAGGACTTTTAAATTTGTCAGTCAGTCCCTTTAAGCATTGGACTACCCTTTCAATAATTAAAGGAAAAACCCCAAAGCTACTAACAACCTGCCCTTCTTCCCTGCCTTTTTTTAACACTGGTTCCAGCATTTTTGGTTAATACCACTGCTGGATAAATTAGAAAATAAAATCTCTGTGGGTGACCAGGCAAAACTTATTAATCATATAACCCTAGCAGATGACATAGCCCTAATACAAATATTTGTGCTTCTGTCACTGGCACTCGTCTGATCACTGCCAAATAGTGACAGATTTTAAAGACAATCACATTAAGTATTAATCAGGCTTGAAAAATGCAGCCATGCAGAGGCATACTAAGGAGTAGGCATTTCCTGCCTGCTCTCTGCACTAACCACATCCTGTGCCAGTGTATTATTGAAATTCTTCTTTTTCTTCATAAAACATCTTTTTTAGCATGCCCCAAATTTAAAATGGTCATTGGTTGGCTGGGTGACCTTGAGCCAGTGTCAGAGCTCCTACTAGATTATGCCCTGGGCTCCAGGTTCCCCTGACCATATTCACATTCCTTATTCCAACTTCTCTCTCACTGCTAGGATGTGAGCAAGTGCTAGGTGTTCAGTATGAGAATTGGAGAGAACTCCTGGGGGTTAGAAAGGGAAGCTGCCCATGGTGAAGGCAGCATGGAGTCAGGGGTGCTCAGGCTGGGCCTGGAAAGAAGAGGCAAAATACTTCTGGAGAGGATCCCAAGTAATGGTGGGAACATGAGGTTGGCCATATCTGCTTGGCTTGGGGTGGAGATTAGCAGGATGTTACATTCACCAAGTCGAGAGGGGTTGGCAAAGACAAGAAATTAAGAGAGAATTTCATGCTGTTTTAATGAAAACTTCTATTTGCCTTACGAGGTTCTTCAAAGACAAAAGCATCTTGGAGGGCAAAGCTGCCAGCCTATGCACTCTAGGAAGTCAGTCCCAGAGAGAAGGGGATTGGGTGGGCACGGAGACCACTCACATGGGCAATCCCAGGAGGATGGGCTCAGCAGTGCTCATAGGATACAGAGATGAAGAATCAGAGCTGAGCTCTAGTCCCTTAACAGCTTCCCCTTGAATTGCTCAGTCTTTATCCATAGCAGTGGGATCCCAGAAGCTCCAGAGCTGTTCAGAGTTCCTGGGTATTAATGTTAAAGAAAGAATAGAGCACACTTACCAAAAGAAGAAGTGGTTTAGCAGCTTAGTCAGGAGCCCACCGAGCCTTGCCCAGCTGGGGTCAGCTTTGAAGCTTTGCAGTTTCAGAAACATGTTTTTGTCTATTTGTTCTGCGATGTTCAGACTTAGGGAACAGACTCACACTAACCAACTCATGTGAGATTGATGTATAAGTGGAAAAAAATATCCCAGTTTCTTGTTTATAATGAGAAAATATAATATTGGGGTAGGGCAAGGGTGAGTGTGTGTTGGCATATATGTAAATATTGAATTAGCTACTTGATTCTCTCTTCGTAGACAAACCCAGAAGTTATAATTGAAAAAGTTGTTTGTTAAGTGCAAGCTCATAAAAAGGACATACTATCTTTTGGACAGTGCTGCAAATATACCAGTCAATTATTGTTGTTTGGCCTCTATTTTTCTAGACTTCTTGAAGACCACTTCTTCTCATTCTATTTTCACACAACTTTCTGTATCTTTAATTAGGTTCCCAGTCATTTCTTGGAGATGAAACTTCTCCAGTTAGGGTTTTATTAGGGGGTGGGGAAGGAGTTAAAGACCTGCAGGTGAGATACTAGGTAGAAAAAAATCAGAAGATAATAATCTCTTGGTAATTCTCTCCCAAGCAACCAACTGATTTAAGCTCCCAACATTCCCCTCTTCTCTGATTTTTGGGAAAAAATCAAAGAATCATAGAATTTTAGGAGCTGGAAGAGGCCTTAGAAATACTCTACCAAGCTCCTTGGGTTGGTATAATAATTTGCTTTTTTGGTTATTTAACTTCTACCTTACAAATCTCTATATTTTCTTATTCTTTCATCTGAGAAGAGAATAAGAAATCCTATCAAGATTACCCTACTCTCCCACTTATGTGCTTGGTCCCATTTCCTTTATTGTGACCATCTAATTTATTGTCCAAACTGGGACACAATGGAGAGGAAAGGAGTCATTTTTAATAATGAAGCCAAGACAACAGACAAAACCAAGCCAGCTCTGCAAAAACTTAGATGTACAGTTGTCATCATTTCTGCCTACCTCCCTTTTAAACCTTGATTCATCAAGTAGCTTTTGTTTCAGTTGCTTTTTCAGTCTCTCCTTTACATCTGCTTAGAAACCAAATCCCTCTCACTCACATTTACTGGGAGCCTTCCTTGTGCCAGTCTTTAAGGGCTTGGTGTGTGCGGTTTTGCCCCTCGGGTGAGACTTCTCTTGTCCCCTGCCTTGGGAAGGAGTGAGTGAGGGCACGTAAGGGAGGACAGAAGTCTTGCCCCCATACTCTGCCAAGGGCAGACATTTTCGGGGGGCATTGAAAGTAGGAATGCAGGGAGAAATAGTTTCCTGTAAGTGTCTGCTGCAGCTTCCTCACAGCCACCCACTTTTGCCTCTACCCCAAATTCATCTGACACCTTTCACCCTCACCTCCCCAGTCCTGGGCCTTGTCCTCACAGCTGCTTTTGATTCTTGAAATGCTCCTGTCTTTGCCTGCAGTGTCAGGGCACTCTCCTGGAAGGGACTTTGCAGGGTCGCCTCACTGGGCTTCGTTTGCCCCCTGCAGGGAGCAGAGGCCCAGCCTGGGTGACAACTCAATCAACTGTTGTTAGTTAATTGGAATTGAAATGAGGGGCTGTCAGTGGAGCTTCAGGGTTATGTTTGAAGCTCTCTCTTCTTTATTCTTCCTCTGGAAGACTAAGTGTTTTTGGCATTGTTGTCTGTCCACCTAGAGGAAGAAACAACTAAAGAGCTTTCAGGGTCACCATGCACATAGGAGGAGCCCAATTTTCATCAACCCATGAAATCCCCATATTTAGTGCCCCATGAGAGAGTTTCAAGTCCAGGGGTATTGGGACATCCTGATTTTAGAGATTTGATGAAATAAGTTACATCAAAGCCTCTCTCAGTGGTGGAGTTTTAGCCCCTCTTGCCCCTTAAAGGTTAAATGTCCTATATAAGCCCCTGACAATCCAATGAGATGTCCACTGGGGCTGTCTGATGGTCCCTTTGTTGGTCTAAGCTGGTTTGGCCTTAAAGGTGTGGTGACAGATACCTTTACTAGGGATTTATGAAACTTGTTTCAGGAGTCAACTCCCAGGAATAACTCTATTAACACAGCTAGAACCAGTTCCTGACCCCTTTTCATCTTCTGCCAAAAAATCTCCAAAGGCTCAAGAAGAATTGAGTTTATTTTTCCTGAATCACATCCTGTTCATTATTTTAATGTCAGCCTCATCTTGGTTTCCTACCCATGGCCTGACTAGCAATGAAGAAGAAAATATTGATCATTTCCCAAGAAGCTGCTGCAAGACTCTCTCCAGGGCATTGAACTCTCAGCTTTTGTGCAAGGCCAATAGTTCAGAAAACTCTTCAGCCTTCTAGATATTTAGTTGCACAGAATCTTCCATCTTGTGGACCAAAATAAATAACACACCTTTAGATTCAGTTCTTGCACCTACTACATGCCAGGCACAGATTTATTCTTGACTTCTTTTTACTAAAGCTGTGAACTTCTCTCCCACCTTTGGTGCTTGTTTGCTTCCATCACTCTTCCCCTTGCTCCCTTCTCTGGAAGACTGCCCCAGCCACTAGAGCCCCTCTGCCCAAACACACAAAGTCATCAGTGCCTGCGAGCTTATGGTCCCTGGGACATCCCTTAGCCAGTGACCGACAGGTGTGGAGTGTGAAAGGCTAGCTCTCTTGCCTGGGCGTGGGACAAACTCAGGCATAATTATACTCCAGAATTTCCCTGTGGGATCAGGCAGAAGTAACTCTCCATGGTGCTCTGCCTAAAATTGCATATTTGTTTGGCTTCTTTTACTTCCCTGTTCTGCCTTCTCTATTTCTTTGCCTGTTTCTCCCAGGAGCACTTCTTAATAAACCACTTGTCCATGAATGTTCACCTTGAGCCTTGTTTTTGTGGAAACTGATGCAAGACAATATTATTTCATTGAATTCTCAAAGCTACCCTGTGAGAATTGAATTTTAATAATTACTTTCATTATTCTCATTTACAGATGAAGAGACTCAGATGTCTATCATTTAAGTGATTTCTTCAGGACCACACAGCTAGTAAGTGAGGTGCAGAGTTGGGATTTAAATCCAGAACTTCTGACTCCAAAGCCTAGACCTGGTTAATTGATCATTTTCTACTGCAGAATCACCTTCCATCCCACATGCAGGATGATTGCTTAGTCAATGAATATTTAGAAAATACTTACTTTGTATCACATACTGGGAACAAAAATAGTAAGCAAAATATTCATTAATGAAATAATTTTATGAATACATAATTATAAACTGTGATAAAAGCTATAAAGTACTGCTATACCAAGTTTATAATGGATAGTATGTGTGTGTGTTTGTGTGTATGTCAAGAAGAAATTGTGGTTCGGGAGAAGATAGGTTTGCATGACAAAACAAACTCTTGTCTGCCTGAAATGCAATGGCATGCAGCTGAATGAAATTAAATTTAATTTTGTATTTTCTATCCAGATAAGTTTAATTTTGCAAGCTTCATGTGGCCTGGAGCTGTGTTTGTGTAGCTTGCTTTCACTAGCTGTCAACAATTCTATCTACACGCAGCTCACTGCTCCTTCCACACACCCCAAGACCCTGGCAAGCCTCCTTGGTGCCAATCAGCAGCCCCTGGTAATGTCAAAAGCAGTGGCAGCTATGGTTTTCTATCACAGAGTCCCTCATTAAAATTTGTGCTTGGCGGAACAGCTGGTCCCAGATCACAGATTCCGGCTCGCAGTGGGTAGCTCTGGATATGGAGACAATGAATGCACACAGCTTGTTAATGACACTGTCAGAAGGTGGGGTTCCCTTTCAGCTATTTCTAGAGAAATCTGGGCCATTTATCACACACACAGACATTTATTCACTCATACCTAAGTTCTCATATTCTTTCTCTATAGGAATGTTATTAATAAGCAAAACTTTTCAAAGTTTTTCTAGTTGGTCACCATAAAAGAAGGAGGTGTTAGAGTGTGAGCTGTTTTTGAATAAACACAGTTTAGGCAGTTTCTTAGTCCCTTTTGTGTTGCTAACAGAATACCACAGGCTGAGTAATTTATAAAGAAAAGAAATTTATCTTTTACAGTTCTGGAGGCTGAGAAGTCCAAGGATGAAGGACTCCCATCTGGCAAGGGCTTTCTTGCTGCATCATCTCATTGCGGAAGGTGAAGGGCAAGAGAGCATGAGAGAGTAAGAGAGAGCCAAACTGGCTTTTATAACAACCACTATTCATGAGAGTGGAGTTCTCATGGCTTAATGTCCTCTTAATAGTCCCACTTCTTAATATCATCACAATGGCAATCAAATTTCTACATGAGTTTTGGATGGGACCATAGAAGGGGGTGGTGGATACTAAGAAGCATAAGACTATCCCCCACCCTTAAGAGAATCTCTGTGATTTAATTATTATCAGGAGTAATAACAATGGTGATGATGATAATTTTAATACTCATGCATGAGCTGCTATTTTACAGTTGACAAGTATTTTCAGCTGTGTTAATTCGTTTTTCCTCTAGTCATTTCCCTGGGTTGGAAACTCAGCTGTTGTTTTTTCATACCAATTTATTATCAATAAACAGAGAAGCTGGCTCTTCTACTACTGATACAATCAAAGTTTCCATAACTGTCACCTACAATTACCCAATCCCAAAATTACATTTAAAAAGTCCATCTATCTATCTTCAGGCACATGAAGTTGGAATCAGTAAAGGCCAAATTAGTTTCTATAGGTACAAATTTTTTCAAGGTCTACTTTAATGAACTTCTAGTGGAATCATATTTCTAGCTACAGAAATGTCTACCCATAGAACCTCAAAAGTCAGGGTTAGAAGGTTTTTGCTTAATAGACACTTGATAGTGGAAGATGATTTTAAAAAATTGTTGAGGCTTCACCAAATTATAATGATATTAATGATAATGGTTTAGCTTTATTGAGTTCCTACTGTATGCTGGAAACTTTGATAAGCACTGGAGAATCAAAGAGGTATAGGGTAAGGTCAGTGCCCTAAAGAAATTTATACTCATATTGGGAAGACCCAGCTAAAATAACTGGTAGGTGCTTGGTATGGAGAAAAAGTTTAGTGGACAAAAATAGTGATGTGGTCTGGTATAGTCATAGATGACTTAAAGAGGAGACAGGGTAACTTAAAGGCCTTAAATAAGGGGTAATATTTAGATAAGTGAAGGGGCATAGGAAGAATGCCCCAGGCAGGGATAGTAGAAAGAACTATTAATAGTATTTAGAGCTTGGAATGTATGAGTTATATTTAGAAGACAATGAAGAGAAAAGTATGACTGAAGTGAAGTGTTGATGTAAGAGAGGATGGAAACACAATCCCAGAAACCCAGGAAAAGCTCACATGCCAAACCAGGAGGTTAGATCACTGGTGATTGTTACCATACATTGTATAGTAATTAAATATGGCAAATGAAACAGTACTAATAATTGATGCTAAATGTTTAATATGTACCTGGTCCTGTGGTAGATATTTAAAGTGCTTTCTCATTGACTGACTTGTTAAGTCAGTAAATATTCATTGCCCACTATAATCCTCACAATAATCCAAGAGTGTACATGTTATTGCTTCCATTTTAAAGATGAGAAAACTGAGGCTCAACAGGACTAAGTAACTTATGCACAAGTAACACAGCTAATTCATGGCAGAGTCATGATTTGACCTCATGTCTATCTAACAAAACCCAATATGTTATACTGCAGGCTTCTGAGTCTCTAAAGAGGTGGAAATAATGGATGTTGTTTGGGGGGAAGACTGGTGAAGGCATCCTGGCAGACAGAGTCTGGAGGTTGGGCAACTATTACAACAGGCCAACCATGATGTGGAACTGAGGTGTGAGGAGAAAAATGAGAAAGGAGTTTGTAGTGAAGGTCAAGGTGAATGGGAAGGAAAAGATGAATTCTAATTACATAATAAAAAAAATAAGAATGTTCAGTAGTTTGTATTTGAGGAGAGGTTGAAAGAAAGGGAGGAGTCAGAGGTATTTCCAGAGATTCACGCCTGGGACTTGAATGTGTGTAAGATGTTAACTATACCAATCAAGGTTCTATGTTTTCTTAAATGTACTGGAATATGTGCATCTAAAGAACAGGCTCCTTCAAAGTAGCTACTTGGGAGACTTTGGCCTTGTTCTGACAATGCTGCTGTTACTACAAAGTATTGGGAACTCTTCTCTCAGGACTACCTTCCACCACAAGGCAAAGGACTCCTAACTCTAGCCAAGGATGTCCTTCTCAGCCTAACCACCCACCTGATTTTCCAAACTTGGCTCCAAATCACTTACTTTTTAAAAAAATAATAACTGTGAAAGGATGAAGCTTTACCACCTTTGAGGGTATGCTCAGGTTTTTCTCACTCCCATGGGGACAGTTTGGACATGGACCCCAGACAGTCCTAGGTTTGAACTCTGACTCAGCCATGTTATTTAACCCTACTCAGGTCCTTCAGCTAGAAAATGGATATCACAGTTCCTCCCCCAGGGTATTACAGTGTTAATTAGGATGCTTTTAGTCGCAAGTAACAGAAAAGTCAACTTAGATTGACTTAAATAATGTGGAAATTTATTTGCTCACATAAGGAGAAGTCCAGAGGTAAAGTGAGCTCAAGGCAGAATATTAGTGGAGCTCAAGTTTTTGTTCTCTTGGCTCTGTCTTGTTCTGCTAGCTTTGTTGTCAGGCTGGTTCCCTTTGCATTGGCAAGAGGGTCATCAACAGCAACTCTGGCAACGTGCTCTCTTCCTCATGTCTAGTACAGGAGAGAGAAAAACCTCTTCCCCAACAGCTGAGAATATGTATTTCCTTTCCATCTGTTTGGACCATCTTAGGAAACATACCCACCCATGAACCCCATGGCCCAATAGCCAGCAGCACAATGCTGTGCATAAACTGGCTTAGCATGAGTTGACCTGAGAGTCAGGAAGGATTAAATATAATAGCATAACTCATGGGCATTATCTGGCACATAGATAGCACTCAGTAAGTTGTTTACCTAACAGTGAAGGGAGTATTATTTGGGCCAATTACACATACACTTCTGATTATATAAGGAATGCATTCTCTCTTTAATGTTTATCTTAACCCTCTGCTTTGGCCCAGGGCCACAATCTCACTTCCCATCAGAATGGATTACAGAGCAGTGCATAAGCTGGGATGGTAATCTTAGGCTTGTTTAATACATGAAAAACAGCTTTTGAATCCAGAGGCAGATAGGATATATGGACAGAAAGGAATGCTGAGTGGGGGCCAGGAAAAAGGAGGAACTGGTTATCAGTAGAGGAGGAACTGGTTATCTTACTGATTTGTACTTTTGCTCTGTTCCTCCCAGCTCTGCTGTTTGTCTCTGGCTTCACAGGATCCACTGGGGCAGGCTGCAGGGGGGAAGGTGTCTCTTACTAGCATTTAGAGGGAAATTTTATTTTATTTTATTTTATTTTATTTTATTTTATTTTATTTTATAGACAGAGTCTCACTTTGTTGCCCAGGCTAGAGTGAGTACCATGGTGTCAGCCTAGCTCACAGCAACCTCAAACTCTTGGGCTCAAGTGATCCTTCTGCATCAGCCTCCCGAGTAGCTGGGACTGCAGGCATGCACCACCATGCCTGGCTCATTTTTTCTATATACATTAGTTGGCCAATTAATTTTTTTCTATTTATAATAGAGACAGAGTCTCACTCTTGCTCTGGCTGGTTTCGTAGAGGGAAATTTTAAACAGCTCATCCATCCAGGCATACTTAGGACCTCATCTCATCTTTATGTATTTGGCAACTAGCTGGGAAAGACCAGAACCAAGGCTTTCACACCTATTTAGCACCTGGTTAAGCATCTCTCAGCACCTGCCAAATGGGTCTCTATCATTTAGGGGGAATTTGCACTGATTACTGTACTAATTAAGCAGAAGTCATTGCTATTCACAATCATTAGGCTAAATCGGTTTCTGGGGAAAAGTCTTGATAAGCAGCTGCCCGATTGAAATGGATTTGAAGGCACCCCACACATGCACTAGCAGTTGCTCCTGTGCCATCAGCCAGCACAACCTGGATTCTTATGAACAGGTTCTGGATGGGACCGAACTCAGGGACGGTTCACAGTGTCAAAGGTAGATGACATGGGTTGGGGAATTTTACAGGGTGAGATGCTTAAATTTAACTGAGGTAAATAGTCCTTTTATTTATTTTGCATAAATGCTTTTGGGATAGGCAGCTCCTTGCCCCACTGACTTTCTACAAATGCATTTTAGGTTGCTTAGAGCATTTTAGATATTCATTTTGTGACTAGGGTGGTAGACTCTCTGAACTTTGATTCCTAGGATCTACGTAAACTTGGCATTTGCTAAACAATTTAGTTGGGTGGTGGTGGGTGTGTTGTGTTGTCGTGGTAGGATATACAGCAATAGTCTTGATATCCAAGGCATTGGAAATGCTGTGTGCAACTGAGGACTTCTCCTGTGGGCAAGAGGGTCTCATAGGAGACCAAGAACTCCTCAAATAACAGTAGTCAGATACAGTAGTCCCCTCTTATTTGAGGTTTCACTTTCTGAGATTCAGTTATCCATGGTATGAGTACAATAAGATATTTTGAGAGAGAGACCACACATAATGATATATTACAGTATATCATTAGAATTGTTCCATTTTATTATTATTCTTATTGATCTTTTACTGTGCCTAATTTATAAATTACCTTTATTATAGGTAGGTATGTAGAGGAAAAAACATAGTATATACAGGGTTTGTACTATCTGATGTATCGGGCATCCACTGAGGGTCTGGGAACTGATCTCCCACAGATAAGGGAGGCTACTATACTACATCTGAACGCAAGTCCTTTTGAATCAAGGCACAAACTACATCTGAACACTTATTCTTCTATCTTTTTAAATTTTATAACATGGGTACTGTTTTTATAAAATGTTGTGCTGGTAGTTAGAGAAATGTGGAGCTGGGTGGGTATTGTGAAATATATAATGTGGAGAAGAACCTGGCCTATATGCTGATATATTTGGATACAAAGTTTACTACTTTAAGATAAGCTTCAGACATTGTATTGGCTACTTCTGAGATGCTAATGTGCATCATGAGGTCAGTAAATTTTCCTAATTTTGTGCATGCCAGGTACATTTATGTCTCCACTAGATTTTCCTGGAACCCTAAAGGAGGTAATTTCTTTTGGGGGAGG